TCTCCACCTCCAGGTGGGGTTTCCGTTTACAAAGTCAGCGTTGACACTTTCAAATTGCACATATGTAAGTGACTTCAGAAAGGCCAGTGTTTCAGTCTAAGGATGAAGGAAGACACTGTTTCAGGGAGCAGGGAAGTCTTCTGTGTGCTTGGAGACAGGAGCCTGGGGCATCTGGGGATACAGGTGATGGAGCAGAGCACCAGCAGCATGCAGCACCCAAGAGTGCAATGTTTGCATATAAAGAGAGTGGGCCTATGTCACAAGGTACATGGAGATGGCAGGAAGGCACCACCTACCCCGCAGCAGGTGGTGAGGGAACTTGGGAGCCATAGCCAACCTGGCAGGATTAGGTGACACCATTGCTCCATAGGCTCAGCTCTGCTCTCAACTCAGCAGGAGTCCTTAGCCAGTAAGCCGTGGAGTCAGTGGAAGGACCTTTGCTGCGGTGGCTCTCTGGGCTTTGCTGCAGTACCCAGCCTGGCACTGCAGCTTTCTTTGGGGACCACAACACACCTAGGATTCAGACCACTTGGCTGCGGCCCTGATGTCTTAGCTGGACACCTCTCCAGAGCCTAAACTCTTGCTCCTATCCTTATTCTCAAGAAAGAAAACTTGTGTATGATGGTGTGGATAGCGAGGGAAGGATGCTGGGGGCCAGAGCTCTGTTTCATGACTTCTTGATTCAGAGAAAATCCGAGTGTTCCCAAGAAATTATATCCTACCTGTTGGTGCTACTTAATAAAATGAATCATTAACTCCAGACCAGGCTTTATGCCAAATGCTTTAGTTAATCCTCACATCCTGCCTGCAAGGGAGGTAAGTTTTGTCCCCATTTTGTAGATGAGGAAATGAGGTCCAAAGTGGTCATGACTTACACGAGGGCCTACAATGGGAAGCAGGGAAGAGCCAACAAGCAAAGCTTGACAGTTTGTTCTCATGTTGTATATTTCTTTTCTTCTCCTTCTTCTTCTTCTTCTTCTTCTTCTTCTTCTTCTTCTTCTTCTTCTTCTTCTTCTTCTTCCTTCCTCTTCCTCTTCCTCTTCCTCTTCCTTTTCCTCTTCCTCCTCTTCTTCTTCTTCTTCTTCTTCTTCTTCTCCTTCTTCTTCTTTTTTTTTTGAGACACAGCTTTCTTCTGTTGCCCAGGCTTGAATGCAATGGTGCGATCTCGACTCACTGTAACCTCCGCCTCCAGGGTTCAAGCAATTCTCCTGCCTCAGTCTCCTGAGTAGCTGGGACTACAGGCATGCACCACCACACCTGCTAATTTTTGTATATTTAGTAGAGACAGGGTCTTGCCATGTTGGCCAGGCCGATCTCAAACTCCTGACCTCAAGTGATTCGCCTGCCTCAGCCTCCCAAAGTGCTGGAATTACAGGTGGGAGCCACCATGCCCAGCGTATGTTATATTTCTTCCAAGGCTTGCTGAATATATTCCTCTCACCTTGTGGAGCTTCCACCTGCTTCTCTCCAGCAGAAGTCCAGCCTTGAGGAAGGTGTCACAGGGTGAGGTGGTAAAAGAACATGATCTGATTCATAAGTTAGTACTACACAGCAGCTGGTGTGATGAGAAAAACCCCTCTCTTATAAAAAGAAGCAAAGAGTTTCTCACCCGTAGTTAAAATTTCCCTTCCCACCACCCCACCTCCTTCTACTTTTGTGGCAAAATAGAGAACGGAACAAAGTCAGCACTCCAACTCTTCCTGCTATCTTGATTCAGCCAGGAAAGCATAGTAAACAGACCCAGACCTCCCAGGAAAAGAGTATTGACAAGAAGAGTGGAAAGAGTTAGCTGGGAACCCAGTGGGAAAAAGAATTGGATGCATCAAGAGAAATTAAAAATGAAAACAAAAAGTGAGTTCTTTTGTTGTTGCTAATAGATACAGTATCAAGATACAGATGGAAGACACCATATGGGAAAAAAATAAATAAGAAAAGCAAAGGAAGAGGAAAATTTTAGCAACTGTGTCTCTTTCTCTAGTGAAATGACAACCCATTGGGTATCAGGAGAGCTGAGGGGCTGGCCTCTGCTGGGCTTCTAACAGACTATGTGACACTGGCCAGGACACTGCCCATATCTGGCCCTCAGTTCCGGGTTTTGTTCTGGCCACAACCAGAAGAAACCCATTCAACCAATTAATCAATCCACTGGCATTTGCCTATTGTAAATTGTTCCTACACCTTTATTTCCATAATATACACAAAAGAAAAAGGGTAGGAAGAAAACTGTAAGACAAAGTCACCTGATTTCTTATAAGGAGACTGTTTCATTTCATATATTTATGAAATACTTTAAAAGTCATCTTCATATATTCACACACACATACATACATATACACACATACATACATACACACACATACAAATGCTTTCTCTGTAATTTTTTTAAAAATTGTGTTTGGACTGACATTCAAAACACCGTACATTAGGTGGATATACTATGAAATTCACGTCGTGTTTCAGTTTTGCCATCATTAAACTGTCATCAGGCAGGATACAAATAGAGCTGACTAAGCATGTGGGCTTGTAGAGAATAATGTGTATTTCACTTCCAGGAGGAGCTCAAGTCATTTCCTGCAGATGAAACAATAACTTGAGGACTTACCTTACCCTTTTTCCTCTTTCTGGAAGTTAGTAAATAACATAAGCACAGTCATAAAATCTGAGATTATGTTTACAGAATACATTCTCTCTTAGCTAATGAGACTATCGCCTACATTTTAAAATGTTAAATGCACGCAGTGTAAAGTAGACAAACATAATTGTGTCATCTTGTACCAAAATTTGTCTTCTATAGTTACGGGGAACGCTGAGAATTCTCTGAATATTCTGTGATTAATTTTCAACGGAAGCAGAAAACTTAAACATGGTAGCTAATGTGTGGAGGAAAGAGCCAGGGAGACTGTGTCCACACTCCCCACACTCAGCTATAGGATGTTAAGTGGAGAAACACAAAGAGCCTTCTGTAACCTTTGCAATGACATGCTCTTCATCTAATGCACTCAGTTACTTAATTAGTCTGCCAATATAAATCTTTAAGAAAACTGTGTGTAAAGTCAGCAGGGGGTCCACTTCCTCATGTTATTTTTTTTCCTACTGCTGAATAAATGATTTCCTCCACCAACACCACACTCACACGTGTGTCCTCATTAGTATGTATGAACTGAGTGGAATAAGCATTGGGAGATTTACACTGTACTACATTCAACTTAATTAATAAGAAAGGGAGCCCATTTCTAGGGGAGGGAGTCAATGTTCACAGGTTCCCACATTCTGCTGTTTAATTAATAAGTCCGTCATGGGGAAAAGACTTTAACAGAGCTCTCCTCATTTTCTCTACCTGTCACAACTATTAACTAAACTTTCCAGTGACCTTCAGATGTTAAGGTGCCCTGATCTTTAGATAGCACCTCCAATGTAATTGTGACTTAATGTCCCTATCCAACAAACACTCAACTCAGTCATTCAATGAATACCAAAAGAAGGTCAATCATTGGCCTGGCAATATGGTAGGTAGATGCAGAGGACACAAAAGTGAACTAGGTACAATCTGGTTTTCAAGTAAATTTCAGTTAAGTAGAGGAAACAGGATATAAAAAAAAGTCAAGAAGCAGGGAGACTTCTGAAGCAGGGGGCTGTATGCACACATTTCTAAGAGAGCCGCAGGCGATGGCAGTGGGAGAATGGGGCATAGAAGGAAGGAAGTCAGAGAAGGTGTCACAAGGAGCCAGTGTCTGCACAACGATTTAAAGGACAAGTGCCCACCTCCCTACAAGACTGAGGCAGACTCACCAGTGGATCCCCAGCATCCAGCACAGAGCAAGTAGTCAATGCAATTTTCTGAATTGAGTTTGCCAGGCATGGAAGGGTGCAACAACATTTTGGGGACTGGGGTGGGTGCAGTATATAGGCAAGGGGCAAATGGTCTTGTTGTGTTCTGAGAATCACAAATAACTTGTTACAATGGAGAATATAGTTTGAGCAAGGAAGTGATGAAAGAGGGGGCTGGAAAGGGATTATAAAAAACCAGGATGATAATATTGTGTAAAATACATGGCCATCTTTCAAGAATTTTTATTTCACAAAAACCTAGAAGCATATCGAAGTTCATGTCAACTTCACACATAAATAAACACAATATGAGAGGTGCCTGGATAATCATCCTGTATTGTTCCTTGACTTGTTTGCATAGGAAAAAAAAAAACAGAACCAGGTGTCTCAACAATAAAATATATTTCTTTCATTTTGAAATGTTGAAAAAGCTCTGGAGATAAATGGTGTTGTTGGTTGCTCAACAATGCCAGCACACTTAATGTCACTGAATTGTACTCTTAAAATGATTAAAATAGCAAATTGTACGGTATGTGTATTTTACTACAATAAAGAAAAGTATTCATTGAGTGCCTATCATGCTCAAGACACATAGACTTGCCTAAGAGAATTTTGGTAATGATTGATGTCAAGCTCACCGAGCTTAGTTCATTATTTTTTATTGGGATGTAAGTACAGACACACAGGTCATAAGTATACATCTTGATGAATGTTAATATCTGTACCAATCACTACCAGGTTCAAGATGCAGAATATTTTCAGCAGGCTCCCGCCTGCCCCTTCCCATCTACAAACTTCCCAGAAAGCTAATTACAATTTTGATTTCCATTTGAAATAAAGAAATTTTTTTTGAAAATATGTGTTTATCCTCACTTTTCCTTGACTTTATGCAGAACAATCATTTAGCAGTTGTTGACATTGCTGTGTGGTTTTTTGTTGTTTCCAAACTCTATTTACTGTTAACAGTAGTAAAGAACAACAAATAATGTACAAATTGGTGAATAAACACAACAGAGCCAACAAACACCCCACCCAAGCCCATACAACAAACAGAAAATGAGAACATTTTGAGCAAGATTTCAAGCAAGCAAGAGATGGTGGGTTGTTCCGGTGACTATAAAAAGGCAGAGAATGGCCACCAAGCAGCAATGGATCCTCAGGGAAGGATGATAGGCAGAACTATGAAAATGTTTAATTGGTATAGATCCCAAAATATTTCACAGAACTGAAATCACCAAACTAATGCACAAATTCAATACATATTTGGAAAGCAGCACAGCACAAATCCATGAGAAGAACGTGAAGTCATCATTCCATGGATTCATTTGTAACCACACTCGGAAGTAGCTTTTACACAACAATGTAACTGCAAATTCAGCAATACTTAATCTTACTTTTTTATGTATAGACCATAATGATTCATCAGAAGCAAATACTAGAAGAAATCTGAGGCCACAACACCAATACCAAATGAGAAATGTGGGAATTTCTTCAATATTAAGAAGAAGAAAAAGCCAATTTTGGTTATGCCAATACTTGCCTGTGTGTCAATGCCAGGTACTGAACAGGAAGTGGGGTGCAAGGGTGGCAGGGGGGGTGGGTCCTGGGCCTCAGACCCCAAGGTCACATGCTCAAGGGCCAGAGAGCCCATTGGACCTAATTACCAAAGGACTCAGTTATTTTTTACCCTTTGAAAAAACATTCCAGTATTCTCCCTTAAACTTTACCATATTCTGACAAAGCTTAAATTTGCAATATTTAGCATTTTAATCATCTGTGCGTATAACAGCAAATGACAGTCTGTCCTCCCTACCCACCTTTCCCCCAACACCTGTCCAACAGCTGCACCTCTACTGCGGGAAACACCAATTCTCTATGTGACTGGAGTGAGTGGAGCAGAGGCAACCAACTCAGGAGTTGGATCCCTGGCCAGACTAAAAGCGAACATTCAGGCTACAATTTTGGGGTTAAAAAAATGTTACAGGAGGGGGAAAACAAAAACAAACCCAAAATACTTTGCAACTCATTTTACCTGAACAAAGATAACAATTCTGATTGGCCCAATTTAAGTTACAGATTCATCCCTGCAGATAGTTCTGAGTTGCACTTGAAGTACATCAAGGAGAGGAAAATCACTGTGGTGAACGTCCTCAAGTTTCCACAGACCGCTTTGTGGTCGGCATGGTCACCATTCAACAGCAATGCAAGGACAGGACGGATGGTCTTCTAGAAACCATGCCCCGCCAGGCTGCTCTCCGGCACGTACCTCCTGTCTGCTGCTGGAACACATCGATGGTGTCCTCGTCCTACATCTCCAGCTGTGCTGGAGTGTCAGTTTCATTAACTGGCTACCCGTCAAACCTGAATCTAATTTGTCTCATTGACAAGCCCTGCGTCTCGCAGTAGACTTTCATCAGCTTGCTCAGCGGCGTGTGCCTCTTGATCTTGAACTGCACCACGAAGCCATCCTGCCCGGCCACCTTCAGGTTGATGTGGTAGTTCTCCGTCTTCAGGCCCTCCTTGGGCTTCTCCTCAGACATGGTTGCTTGGGCAGCGCGGGCCGGCGGCGCGAGGGAAGCAGCACGGAGCGGGCGAGTCACGCTCACGGCCCTGCCGCTCTCCCGTTTTTTTTCTTTAGTGTGTAACCAATTGGCCACAAACTTAGTGACTTAACACAGCACAAATTCATTATCTGTTGATCCTGTCCAGTTAGCTGGGTTCTCTGCTCAAGGCCTTACCAGGCTAAAATCAAGTAGCTGGTTAGGGCTGCTAGCTCATGCGAGAGGTAGAGCCCTCTTCTAAGCTCGCCGGTTGTTGGCAGAATTAATTTCCTTGCGGGGGTATTCGTGAGGTTCCAGTTTTCTTGCTGGCTGTCAGTCAGGCGTCCCAGATGCCACCCACTCATGCTGGACTCATGGTCCCCTCCTTTACCAACTGGACAGCTTACTTCCTCAAGGCCAGTAGAGGAAGGCCTCTGCCACTGCCTATCTCTTTTAAGGGCTCACTGTGTTAGCTCAGGCCCACCCAAGACAATGTCTCTTTTGATTAACTCAGACTCAAATGATTTTGTAACTTAATTATATCCACAAAACCCCTTTTGTCCTATAACATAACACAGTGACTGGAGTGATATCCCATGGTATTCACAGTGCCTCCCATACTCAGGAGGAGAGCATTATACAAGGTGTGTTCCTGATACACAAGGTGCACTGGGGCAGGAATCTTGGGGCTGTCTCAGAATCCTGCCTACTAGAGTTGCTTTCAGTTATTTCACCTGACCACAAATCCAATGAGATAATAATTTTATTATTTAAGACATTCATCACTGAAAATTTAGAAAATACAGATAAAAGTAAAATAAAAATTAATTTTTTTACTATTTACTATTATAACCAGATGTAATTAGCATTTCAGTGAATTTGCTTCCAGATTTTTCCTAAGCATTATAAACATACATATGTAAGTATTTCTAGAAAGAAGATGGTGTTGTACAGACTAATGTAGGTAATCATTTAAGTGGAATTTTCAGTCTGGCTATTCATTGTCTTATGGGAGAACTACTTTATCTTTTGGTTTTGAACCTATCATAGACTGGCCCTGTGTTTATGCAATATGCTACAATATATAGATATATATGTACAACGTTAAATTTCACTAAACTAGAATTTAACAGTATGTAAACATCAGCCCCCTTTCCATGTAGTAAACAGAGAGAAAATGGTTCAGGAAGAACTTCCTCAGCTTAAGCAGTTGCCCAACTAAGCTTTTATTGGATAACAGGAGGTGCAATTAACAAGCTGAGCAGTGATATATATCCTAACTCATTGTTACTAATGATTTTTCTCTTTTTAAATCTGTAGTGGTAATTAGGACACTCACAAATACTCCATTTTTCCTTCTCAAAGCATATGTTAAGATTGCTTTTCCTTGTTCCCACATGGCACAGCCTATGTGACTTATCTTGGTCATAAAAGGAGAGCAAAAATGATGTATCATTGCAGGGCAAAAACATAAAGAATGAGTTTGTGATTGGTGATGTCACCTTCGCTCAGCTCTGTGACCCTGTGAGCTGCTTCGAGACAGTGTTTCTGCCTGCTGGGTGTCTGGGTGGTCTTGATTAGCAAAGCATATCCCCTCCGCTGTTAAGTTCCCATTGAGTGAAAAACAAAATGTTGTTGGGGTAAGCCCCTAAGAGTTGTTTCTTATTACAGCATAACTAGCCAAATGCACCTAATGCAAAAACTAAAGTTTGAAGACAACTTTTCTCTTTTTACAAATTAGGGCTGATTCAAATTCATATCTATAAAAAATATGTCTCTTATTCACTTGCATTTGAATGGAAGGGAATGGGTAAAGAAAACATGAGTGTACTGAGAATGCATGTGGGAGCCTTGTCCTCGGGATGAACATCTTCCTTCATGTGAGACCTGGTGGGAACAGATTGAGAACAGCAGAACAGCAGATTATCACACTAGGGCTGGTAGGCCAGAGGCTGAAGCATCTGCTCACCTTGACATATACTGTTCACTGCTAGTTTATCAAATTACCTAAAAACTAAAATTGAATATATCTAAACATATGTTCAGGCTGTTCAACTCTAATTCCACTAAAATTCACTTTTGAAAGCAGAGCACCATATAGAATTACTTTTAAAATAAATGAGTCCTTTGTATGCACTTAAGTCTTTATAATCATGTCTACTATGAATCTGCCAAGGGTAGTATCTTTTTACTCAGTGCTGTGGCCAGTTACAATTCCACGTGGCCAAGACATGTATGGATTGTGATAGCTGCTGTTAATACAAAACAAACAAAATAAGCAAACAAAAATAGAAACAGTCCTGTGTTGAGTATGATGAGGTGAAATCAGATTTTTAGCAGAGAGCAGAAGAATGCTTTTAGTCAGGTGCCATGGTTATTATAACTGACAAAGAAATGGCCTCCTGACATGGTTTAGATCTCTGTCCTCACCCAAATCTCATGTGAAATTGTAATCCCTAATGTTGGAGGTGGGGCTTGGTTGGAAATAATTTGATCATGGGTGTGGTTTTCTTTTCTTTTTCTTTTTGTGTGTGAGACTCCATCTTACTCTGTCACCCAGGCTGGAGTGCAATGGAACAATCTCAGTTCACTGCAACCTCTGTTCAACTTCTGTTCGAGCAGTTCTCCTGCCTCAGCCTCCTAAGTAGCTAGAATTACAGGTGCCTGCCATCATGCCCAGCTTTGTGTGTGTGTGTGTGTGTGTGTGTGTGTGTGTGTGTGTGTGTTTTGGGGTTTTTTTTGGTAGAGATGGGGTTTCATCATGTTGGCCAGGTTGGTCTTGATCTCCTAACCTTAAGTCATCTGTCTGCCTTGGCCAAAGTGCTGGGATTACAGGCATGAGCCACAGGACACAGCCAAGGGGTGGTTTTCTTATGAATGGTTTAGCACCCTGCTCTTGGTGCTGTTTTCATGATAGTAAAGGAGTTCTCACAAGATCTGACTATTTAGTGTGTAGCACGTTCCTCCTTGCCCTCTTGCTCCTACTCTGGCCATGTGATGTGAATTCTTCCCTTTTGCTTTCCCCTATAACTGTAAGTTTCCTGAGGCCTGCCCAGAAGCTGAGCAGATGCCAGCATCATGCTTCCTGTACAGCCTGCAGAACCATGAGCCAATTAAATCTCTTTTCTGTATAAATTATCCAGTTTCAGATATTTCTTTATAGTAATGCAAGAATGGACTAATACACTAGCCTAGGGTCCATTCCCCCTTCTTTGGGTAATTGTCCCAATTTTTTTTTTCAGGTAACCACACCTTCCATGAGTCCTTGCCCATTGAAGGAGGCTGAATGCCCTGTTCCCACTGAGGGTGGGGTATGTAGTTTAGGGACAACCTACTCAGTATGCTCCCCTCAGCTGCAGTGATTGCCTCAAGCATGGATGGCACAATATGTGGGCCAATAAGACTGGAGAAGAAATTTTCTGTAACCTCTGAGAAGTATCCCTTCCCTTTTCTGAAAGCTTCTGGAAATGGGCATCTCGCTGGCTCTCTCCAAGGACACATGTGAGAACAAGTACTTGAGAAAATGTCAAATTAGCACCATGAGGTAAGGCTAAGTCATATTACCACCTAGGTAAGGCTGACCTCAGAGGGAATCTGCCATTGTGGTAGGCAGAGGAAAAATGGAAAGAAACCTCGATGACCTTGTTGAGCCACTGCATTTTATAATCCACAGTTCTGTCTTACTGGTAGACTTCCAGATATATAGACCACTATGTGTGGTTTTATTTTTTTTGAAGCTACTTTTTGTTGGGCTTTTGATTCTTTACATCTAACATGCTTAAACTGGCATAATTAAAGACTGACTGGAAATACAGTTGCCTGAAGACCTGATGGAATCAGAATGCAGTTGCCCATTTCAAAGCAATGGCTTTAAGCAGGCCATGATTCTAAGTGTCCTAAAATGACAGGTTATATGAAGTAACTTGCAGTTCCAATTATGTTGGACAGAATGGTAAATGGTAAAATTTTAGATGTATTTTTTCCAGAGGTCTTTTTGGGTAGAGAGGTGTAATCAGGAAGGGAATGGCAGACAAAAAGGAGAGAACAAAGATCTGATGATAATAATAGCTAACGCGACATTACACTTGTCATGTGCCCAGCAGTGTTCAAGTCAGAGGACATATTTCCTCATTTGCTCTTCTTAATAGTCTTGCAATATGAGTATATTTATCCCCGATTGTTTTCAAAGAAGAGAATAGAGGGACCAGAGGTGCCACAGATAATAAGACCTGCAATTCAAGCCACAAGTTCTGGCTCCAGTGCTGGCACCACTATTCTCTGCTGCTTTTGCCATTTGGGTCCTTTAAGGCTAATGTAGAAGTATCCAACTATTAACACTGAATGTTCCCCGAGTATGCTTTGTTTGTAGCATCCTTTGAAATCCCGCAGAAATACCTAGGATTCGTCTGGATGAAACAAGGTGTTCAGACAGGGCTGTACCTGGCAGAGCCCACATGGGCATTGTTTGTGAATGAATTATGCCAAGGAATTAGGTAAGCAGAGGGGGTTTTCCTGCCAGTTACTTGCTCAGACTTCACCACCTCCTACTTACCTGGTGATTTCATTGAGAGCCAAAGTTTCTTTTTTGTAAACAGATTCTACATTTCTTCCTCATGCCTTTCTGAAGAAAAGGATGTTACATTAGGATGAAAAAGCATCTATTTTAAAAAAAGGATGCCTTTTTGCTAAAATTGTAACAATGTTGGTTTAACCTAATTCAGCTACAAAAGTAAAGAAAACAAAACAAAAAAAAAGAAAGCCTTAAAAATTCTGGTCATAGAAATGGAAGTTCTCATCATTTTCATTGAAAATGTAAAGACTCAGTTCTTTGAGTTAATTGAAAAAGTCTTTATAAAGCTCCTTCTGCATTGCCATCAATGTTGTGTAAGATAAAGTAGGAAATAACAAAAATGTATACAGATGTTACTATTTTTAAATATTCATTTATTTTTCTTCTCGATATTTCTCATTTTTTCCTCGTTTTGCAGTAAATCTCTCCCACCTCACCCCCATTCTAGCACAAGACCAGATCTCTACTCAATTGGAAGAGGCACAGAAAAGAGTGGGAAACAGGGCAAACCACAAGCTTTTGTGTCTTTGTTTTACAAAAGCCTAAACCCTTGGGGAAAGAGATTCTCTATTCACATTCTAAAGAAACAGGAATGGAGAAGTTCCTCCAAACCTCCCCAATTCCCTGGGCTTGGGGAAGGGTGGAAGAGGCGGAGGTCTGGGACCAGTCCCAAGAGCAGAGAGGAATTGTGCCCCACATTAAGCAGCCCACTAGGAAGGCTGCCAGCCTGGAGAGGGATGGCTACATTGTGCACATTGACAGAAATATAAGCAGCCTTCACAAAGATTCCTAGGCTCACAGCATGACATGGGAACAGCAGAAGATCATTAAAACTGAGGACAGAGATGACAAGCTCTCAGGCCTACCCTGTGTGCAATAACAGAGGACCCAGTGTCTCCAACCTCCCCACCACTTGGCTCTGTGGAAGATGCCAGAACTGTGGCACAGCCCCAGGGGATAAGTTACATTATCCCAAGACCAGCTAAAATTTAGTTGTGTTTTGCTTGTTGGATTGTTTTTCCACAGGCCCAACAGAATGGGAAAATCAGAATCAGATCTTAAGTTGAGATATAAAAAGCAAAAGATGAAGCATTGTTTGCAGATCAGAGTTTGGCATGGCTGCTGCAGTAGAATGTGGCAATCCTGCCATAAGCGTTTAGAATCTTCTGGCCTACAGAATGCAGAGGCAAAGCAAATCTGAGAGCACCCCAAACAGAAAGTAGCCA